TGTTTGCTGCTCACAGTTTGAAGTCAATGAATGTGGGAACCCTTGCTACATTTGCTAAATTAATGCGAGCACTTGACAAAGAAGGACAGTTTATTGTTGCGTGGCCAGAAAAATAAACATTCCTTGAATTGATGAATGATTATATTATCTGCTCGGTGGACGGACAGATCAAATAATTGTAATATTGATTCTGCTGCAGTTAATTCGAAGATATAATCTAAATATTTATTATGAATCATAACCAGTTATAATTCGTCATAAATATTCCCCTTTTTAGAGCTAATAAATAATAAAAATCCTTACACCCGTAAGTGCCACGTTCAGTAAATTCCCACTCACTTATGAGATGTGCGATCTGCGCTGCCTCGTCTCTCTCTCACGTGCGTTCTGCAGCAGTCACTTAGATAAGTCGTTATTGCTTGTTGAACTTGTTGACTTGATGAGTTTGAGCGCGTGATGCGCGCTGTGAAAAAGTGTGTTGGAAACACAATTGAGGACCAATCTGCACCTTATTGATGACCCGTGGTGTTAATATACTGCATCTGTGCCAGCGCGTGATGTAATAAAACTGCAGCTCGCTAATAAACGTTTAAAAAAAAAAAAAAAAATGTTATACAATCCGCCTTCAATTAGCAAGTGCACTCGCGCATAAACAATTTTCAAGTTCAACACTTTTTGTTCCATTCAGTTGTGGATGCTGCTGATTCACCGAGACCGCCGTGGCTCAGCAAAGAGACGTGTGTGTGTTTTCCTTTGAAAAAGTTTCTCCAGAAATCGCTATTTAATGCCTTTTTTAAAAATTTATAAACTGCGGTGTACAGCGTTTATTATGAGGGGGTAGAATCCACAGCTCAGTACTCACTACTCAATACTCATGAGTACTTTTAAATAGGCTACTCTTTTACTCTTACTCAAGTAGTTTTTTTGGACAAGTACTTTTACTCTACTCACACTACATGTTTTGGAAGGTAATGACACTTTTACTTGAGTATATTTTTTCAGTACTCTTTCCACCACTGCATGTAATACGTAATGTGTAATATGTAATATTTTCTTTATAAAGACAGTTTTCCTGTACACCAACAAAAACAGAGAACAGCAACTGTTTATGTGTGTACATCATTGTCTGACAATGTTGCAACAGGTTTACAAGAGGATTCCTCTTCACATCAAAGCACCTGAGGTCTTGTTTGTTTGCTTTGCCATCAATCCTTATGAAGGAAGACACTTATTAGAGACTCAGGTTAGGGCCTAATCATGAACACTTGATATGTAATAGAGAGCTTACAGTCACCACGCACCACACGGGAAAGAATAGAGTTATGTTATTAAGCATAAGCACATCTAATATTTACTAGATAAAATAATCCTTTACACTATACAGTTTTTATTGATAATTTTACATCTTTCATGAAATCTATATTGTAATTAGCATTTCTATTTAGTATAGGGACCAATTCTCACTATTAACTAGTTGCTTATTAGCATGCCTATTATTAAATTATTGGCTGTTTATTAGTGTCAAGGTTCACACGAGGAGCAAGGGAACGAAGAAGCAAGGAGACGAGGAGTCATGCAAATTCCAACAGTCTTTAATGAAAGCACAGCTGGGAACACGGGAAGCATGGAGTGACGTTCAAACAAAATGACATATAACAGTGAACGCCAAACACAGGGAAACACAGGGTTTAAATGCACAGTAACTTATGGGACACACCTGGGATCAAATAAAATAAATGGGGAACACCTGGCACAAATGAACATAAGGACAGAAACAGGAAGGAACAAATAAGGGCATAAAATAAACATGGAGCACATGGGGGGAGGAAAACACACAACAAAAAACATGGAACAAAATCTGACATTTAGTACTTCTAAAACACATATTCAGCATGATCATATTCTACATCCCTAATCCTACCCAATACCTACACATAATAACAAACTTACTAACTATTAATAAGCAGCAAATTAGGAGTTTGTTGAGTCAAAATTCATAATTAAGAGAATTGGAACTTAAAATAAAGTGTGACCCAGCTCAACATTTTGAATGTATTTTTTTTCACAGAGCTTGTTGATTTTTTTAGCAATATTTTTTTTTTTACTTAATTTGGCTAAAAGTGTCTTATGTGGCAGCATAATAAAGTTTCTTGCCATCTAAAACAGGCTTTTGCGTCAGGAGCACGGCTGTGACGCCTTAAAATACAGCCCCTGTATAGCTCGGTAGGTTTTGGAACGGAGCCACTGAGACAGTTATAAATATTAAAGATGACAAGCAACCCGAAACAAGAGCTAATGCCAATTTTTCTCCCTCAAACATTGATTTTGTCTGAATCATCAATGACGAAAAAAGACCTTGTAAGTCTTGAGAAATCAATCCAAGCCATTTAGAAGCAATTCCGCAGTTTTTTAGCTCAACGACATTTGCAAAAACCTCTCCAGTTTACTCACATTGCTAGACAAATGATAGTACACTGACAATTTTGGTAATAGAGTTTTTTCCCCCAAAGGAAATGACTTATTGATCAATTTAGCATGCTAATTGCTAACACTGCTGCTTGATATGTCCCGCCCTGTCTTCCTGTTTCAGTTCAAATGACGTCAACACATAGAGTAACGCTGCGTGTTTTTAAGCATTTCAGGGGACCTTTAACACTATTTTTTTTGTGTCGCATCACATCACTCCGCATCCATTGTTGCCAGAATTACTTGCTGCATCCAAAATTGCATACTGTATAGTACACGCAGGTACTCCATTCGGTTTGAAACTTGCTTTGCAATGGTTAAAAAAGTTTGTTCTATATAGCATGATTGTGTGTTGTATGAATGAAATTCAGATGTACAGTACTACATCTGTCATGTGTTACTATCATGGGACCTACCAACATCAATTGCATCGCTTCACAACCATTCACAAATTTTCTACCGTGGCCTCATGGGATAGTAAAAAGGTCTATCAGATGTGACCTTCAGAATCTTGCTGGAAGTTGTAAGTCAATGGTTACTTTTTGTGTACTGTTTTATGACTATGAATTAGTGACTAGAATAAGTAGTCATATGACTATGACATACTACCTAATTCACATACTTTTTTCGCTTACTATGTAGTATGGAAGTAGGCATATTTGGAGAGACTGATTATATAATGGGTTTGTGTGCTTTTGTTGTGTTGTGCCAGTCATGTCTGGTGTAGACAGGGTGTTATTTTATCTACCTTTCACTTTTCTGTTCCTCTCTTCCATGAAGATTTGTGTGTGTGTGTGTCCTTAGAGATGATTTTGCTATTTATTTATTTTCAATGTATCTCAAGAGACTTTTCTATTGTGGCTGACATGGCATCATTTGCTTTTTCCAGACCCTGGCAAGCCACTAGTGCTTATAGGTTGGCTGATGGAGCTTTCAAGTTGTTTATTTGTGGTGTTGAATCACTGTAGCAGGTCAAAGGAAGACACTGGCTGTAGCTAGACTTACCATAAGTGACACTGTTGTAGGGGTGGAGTACACACAGAATACGCTGTTGTGCAAAATAACAGGTGGGTGCAATCTAACAGAACACAACAGAGCACTGGGATCTTTTCTCCAGTTGTCCATAATTACCACAACACATCAAACATTGTAACAGACAAATGTTACAAACTACAGTAAACCCTTTAAATGCTAGTCCCAACCCCCAGATTTTTCTGATTTGTTCAGTGAAGGAATAGTTCACCCCAAAATTTTAATTTGCTGAAAATTTACAACTAAGATGTAAATGAGTTTGTTTTTCATCGGAACAGATTTGGAGAAATTTAGCATTACATCTCTTGCTCACCAGTGGATCCTCTGCAGTGAATGGGTGCCGTCAGAATGAGAGTCCAAACAGCTGATAAAAACATCACAATAATCCACAAGTAATTTACATGACTCCAGTTCATCAATTACTGTCTTGTGAAGAGAAATATCCATCAAGGCATTTTAACTTGAAAACGTTGCAATATGAGTCCATAATCCCTAATAACGCTTCCTCCAGTGAAAAAAGTCAATTCCCTGTTTTCCTCTTACATCAAAATCCACCGACATGTTTGTTTCACAATAATTGATGGACTGAATCATGTGGATTATTGTGATGTTTCTATCAGTTTTATCTGTGTAGACTCATTCTGACGGCACCCATTCGATACAAAGGATCCAGTGATAAGGCAGTGATGTTTTCCGATGAAGTAACAAACTCCGCTACATCTTAGATGGCTTCAGTGTGAATAAATGTTCAGCAATTTTCATTTTTGGATGAAATATTCATTTAAAGTAATGCTAGCTAAGCAGAAGTTTATTACTTTTCTAAGCAATCAGGCATACAGATGGCAAAAAATTATAAAAAAATATTAAAAGATTCCACTTACTTTGAGAAGCCATATCTTGAGACATAAATATCATAAGCAACCACTTGTAACACCCTAACTGCACAGCAATTGTGGAGGCAACATTTTAATGCTAAAATACAGAATTTCTTCAAAACGTAAAAAAATCTAGTTTTAAACCATGATGCACAACTAATCTGAAAAATGATGAGACTATGCAGAGAATATGTACACAGACCAACCCTAAAATAGCTGCGAATACTAGAATGTATTGTGTGTACGCCTATAGAAACACATACGTACATGTCTACAAGTGTCTTTTCAAACAAGCTTGCTGCAGAGAGGGAAAGGTCAGCTAGGATTATGTTGTGAGCCATAACCTGTCGATATGAGATCCAAGAGATTTGTTTCTTCCTCTCGCTTCCATTCGCCCTCTTGTTTGCATTTCCCTGTTTGTGCCTGTTGTGGTGCATAGGTAAATAAGTGAAGTGCAGGCTTTTAGAACCTCTCACGCGAACTCATTTTCAAAGTGGTGTTGCATCCTGCCAGAATGCAGGGACTTTAAATGACTGACTATAAATTAGTAGATTATTGTTGCTTTTATTGTGGCCTGGAAACCAGAGTCAGAGTTACTCTACTGGTGTTTCTTTGTTCTGATGGCAGACATGAAGTGTTTCATATGCAGAGGGAGCTGCTGAAAGAGAGGACAAGATGCCGAGCTCTAGAGGATGAGCTTGGCAATCCCTTGAATGTACACCGCTGGAGAAAACTAGAGGTATGGACTTGCATTGGCTTGTTACAGAAACAGTTTTATAAATAATACAGGCTTTCAAAATAGTTTGATTTTGCTTCTCTTTCTTTGTAGGCGAGTGATCCAAGCAGCTTTGAACTGATTCAGAAGATTCATTCTCTTCAACGGAGGCTGATAGCTAAAACTCAGGAGGTTGTGGAGAAAGAGCTTATGCTACAGGTGAGAAGATTCTCTAATTGGTCATGGAACAGTCCTAGTGCCCCTTCTGCCTCGCCAATCATTGTCCCACCACAGATTCATATCATTAGTTGAAGCGGAAAGTCAGACTGCACATAGAAAATAGAGAAATTAAAATGATATACACAAACATTTGGGGTCAAGAGATCGGTTTATTTATTTATGCATTTATGTTCCTCAAAAGTGACAGTAAAGATATATAATATATAATGCTGCAAATAAATGCTGTTATTTTATTCATCAAAGAAACCTTAAAAATAAAGGAATCCTAAAAAAAATACTAATAATAATCATGGTTTCCACAAAAAATATGAACCAGCACAACTGTTTTCAACTTTGACAATTAAAAAAAAAAAAGGCTGAAAATTCAGCTTTGTCATCACAGGCATAAATTAAGATAGAAAACAGTTTACATTTATTATATTACGATTTTATAATAATTCACAACATTACTTTTTCATTACTTTCTTAAAGAAATCTTAGAGATAACTATATAACTACATATTACTAATAATCATGGTTTCCACAAAAAATATGAACCAGCACAACTGTTTTCAACTTTGACAATTAAAAAAAAAGGCTGAAAATTCAGCTTTGTCATCACAGGCATAAATTAAGATAGAAAACAGTTTACATTTATTATATTACAATTTTATAATAATTCACAACATTACTTTTTCATTACTTTCTTAAAGAAATCTTAGAGATAACTATATAACTACATATTAGTTAAATTAGTTAAAAAGAGATTAGTTATATTTGAAAGTTATCTAATTGATATTGATTTTCTCTGTTCTTCATTTGCGAATGATGCTTTAAGGCAATTTAAAGTTATCTAAAAGTAATACAGATTGTGCTACTTTTAGATTGTAATATTTGGTTATTAGCTTACTGAATAACTTTTTTTTCTGTGCCTGTAGCACTTATGCACAAAGCGCCACAGATTTCCACATAATCAGAATGTCCACCGTTTTACTCTTCCTCTGTGCCTTGCTTGTTCCATTATTACGTATTTGGACTAATTTGATTATGCTTCCAGCTCCTAATAGCAGTAAAGTACTCTCTACTTTTACCATATTAAAATCCATCCCACAGAATTATGCAGATTCTGTCTGGACTGATAATTAGTGATTTTTACTGGAGTCGATTATTTAAAGTATTGTATCCTGACAGAGACATATTTTAATATCCTCCCTGCCATTCAGTTCAATAATATACAACAAGCAGAGTCTATCATTTATACGTTTAGCCATACATTACTTGCATTATAGTCTAGAACTAGTCATTTTCCCCTCTTTGTCCTTGTGTATGGTCTAGTATTCAGAGAGCCCTCCAGTGTCTTTAATGAAGTGATCCATGCTGTTCATTGCTCAGACTAGAAACAAATGTGATTTCTCAGATGTTGCAGGTGCTCGAGTGGAGCTTCTTGAGGGAGCAACGTTTGTTTACATAAATGCACTTGGAAGCACTGATTAGGTTATGAATGGAGAGATAGAGGGAGGTGCTGTTGGCGTGACTAGAGTAACTTTTATGCTTTCTTGTTTATGTATTTGAGATTTTTAATTGGGTTTGTTAGTTTGAAGACTATAATGGTGGCTCCAAAGCAACTAATCAGAAATGTTATAGAACTGAGAGAGGGAAAAAATACGACGGAAAAGTTCGCAGTTTGTCTGGAAGAGACAGACAAAATGTTCTAGGAGTAACTGTCCACTTTACTTTCACTATTACGAGATGGGTAGACATGGGCTGTGATGTTCAGTTTGATGGTGTTAAGAGTTTTTTCGCACTTCGGATCTTGAGCTCAGATGCAGTGGAAATGATAAAATGGGCTTTCAAAATGCCATTAACATCAGACAGACAGCCAGTTTAAAAAGGTTCCTTTCACTGCCTGTATCAAATGAAGCTTAACAGACTGGATCGCAATCTTAGGACATGAGCAGCCATTTTCAGGGATCAGATCATACCAAAACGTGTTTGATTTCTTTCAGGTCATCACTAGATTCACATTTTCTTCCTAAACTCAATTCAGAACACACTATTGATATTTACACAAGCTGTGGTGGAGTGTATAATATTTCTATTGGACAAACCTTTTAGGCTATACCAGAGCCGTGCAGTCTTTCAGATATGTATTTAATAAGATTAACATCTTTGCCCGTTGCATTGTTGCTCATAGCCTTTTTTTTTTTTCTCAGCATTTTGCAATTCCCCCCCCCCAGGTAAATGTCTCTTAAATGAGTTTTTCTGGTAATATAATTTTATAATGGATAAAACAAACTTGTATTAAGTTAGAAAAATGCCAAATAAACCACCATTTCTTTTTGGGGAATTACTTAAAAAAAAAAATTGTAATTCATTCCTGTGATGGCAAAGCTGAATTCTTCAGTCTTCAGTGTTACATGATCCTTCAGAAATCATTCTGATACGCTGACTTCCTGCTCAAGAAACATTTCTTATCATTATTATTTTCAGTGTTGAAAATGGTTGTGCTGCCTAATGTTTTGTGATATATATTTTTTCACGTTTTCATGATTCCTTGATAAATAGTATATTGAAATAGAAATCTTTTGTAACATTATAAATGTCTTTACTGTCACTTTTGATCAATTTAATTCATCCTTGCTGCGTAAAATAATTTATTACTTCTGAACGATGTAAGAGAAGTCTTTAAAATATTCTAGTCTCTATGTGCTTCTGTATGGTTTGGAAATATTTGTTGTCTTTATATTCTTTGTGCAATTCTGTTTGATGCAGCTATGAACTTCTTTTAGAATGCATAAATGAATCAGCATTGTGCGATTTCTCACAACTTCAGTTCCAATCTGAAAATCAATGAATATGCCAATGGACTGCAGATGAAATGAACCCGTCTTCAAAGGAATATTGGGATGCAGTGCTAATTAGGTTAAAGCTGACTGCGTTACAACACCCCTATAACTCATTGTGTAATTATGAAGTCGCTCGGCTCGAGCGCTGTGTGAGTCTTGAGCTGCCTTTGATGCCTTTTAAAACAGCCCCACCACAGTTGTTAGACAGCAGGGCATTGTTGTATTGTTTTGTAGCTGTTTGCAGTGAAAATTGTGACAGCGTGTGCAATATAGCACCATTTAGGACACAATAGCAAAAAGCCATTGCAGTCAAGACAATGCTGCACTTCTGTAGACGGAGGACAGTGGTGATTCAGAAATGATGCAAGACAGGCTCCATTTTTAATATAATACCCATTATAGATCTTGAAGTATTCACAATGCAGCACTTTATGGCAAACAAAGAGCAGGCGCTGTTTTTCACACAGATGCAGACTCTAATTGTCGCATTATTTGCACTGAGGCAGTGCGATAATAAAAGAGGCACAGAACATATCATGTCAGTTAATACTCGTGCAGGCAAATCTGGACAGGCGATTAGCGGTTTACTATTTATTCATGCATGGTGGCTGTAAGATATGGCCCAGTGACTCACCGAATTACAAACTGAGGTATGACAGGAAGGTCTGTTTTACCTGCAACAAACAGCGGAGTTTATTATGCCCTACAGTTAATGCAATATAACACTGTAATACAGATAGGTTGTAAGGTCTGCGATAGGTTTGCATCGGGTGCCGCAGAGTTAGATTGAGTTTTCCGAGCTAAAGTTTTCATTTGGGTAAAAGAGAAAGGAAGGTGATATTGTATCGCAGGAGATCCAGCACTCATAGAAAGCTTGTGACCTCTTATTTCCAAAGCTAATGCATGAACACTTCCTGTCTTTCAAACGCTATACTCCAGTCCTAACTCTCTCTCTGCTTACACGCACAAACCTGTTTAGTACACACTACTATGAGTTATTTTAAAGGGGTCATATGATGCGATTTCAAGCTTTTCTTTCTCTTTGGCATGTTACAAGCTGTTCGTGAATAGATAAGATCCCTAAAGTTGCAAAGACTAAAGTCTCAAACCCAAAGAGATGTTCTTTATAAAAGTTAAGACTGGTCCACGCCCTCCTAAAATGCCTCGTTTAAACACGCCCCCACGTCTACATCACGATGTGGGAAGATTTGCATAACGCCGCCTTAAAAATGTACGCATTTCAGAAAGACAGAAATGTACAGTATGTCAAGTCAAGTCACCTTTATTTATATAGCGCTTTTAACAATACAGATTGTGACAAAGCAACTGAACAGCATTAATTAGGAAAATAGTGTCAATAATGCAAAATGACAATAGTAAACACAAATTTTTCAGTTAAAGACAGTTCATCATTGAATTCAGTGATGTCAACATCCAGCTCAGTTTAAATAATATCTTTGCTTTTTCCACGCAATTCTAAAAACTTCCAAGTTCGTTTTTCTCCATTTGCGCTCAAGACTACGAGTTTTTTTCTTGAGAGAATGGGTATTACTGTTGTACCATGGCGCAGTAAGTTTTTCTCTAACCTTTTTCAATTTGATGGGGACAACAGCTTCTAATGTATTAGAGAAGATAGTGCCCATGTTGCTAGTTATTTCGGAAAAAGTATGTGGAAAATGTGTTTTTTCAACCTTAAACCGCATAAACACATTTCATAACACCAAATACACAAAATAAATGTTCTTTTTAGCAACATCATATGACCCCTTTAAGCGCCATGGACATGACAAGAACTTCTGGTATTTAGTGGTGATCCCTAAAAATAATTAAGAGCCAGTTTCTGAATAATTTCTTCAAGGTGATTTTGTTTTGAGAGTCAGGGACAGTTGCCCTAGGGGTGTAATAAGTACAGAGCTATGCACTTATGGGCACCGTGTCAATTTGTGTGTGTGTGTGTGTGTGTGTGTAATTAGATTGAAGCACACTAATGTTCAAAAGTTTGGGGTCAGTTTTTTTTTTAAAGAAACTACTTTTTTCTGCAAGCATGCATTGATCAAAAGTCAAAGGTGGCAGTAAAGACTTTGACATTGTTACATAAAAAAAAGGTATTTGAAATTTTGTATGCGAAACATTTATTTCACACTAAGTATACTACAAATACATTTACATATTTACTTAACAAAAATACCCTTCAATTGTTCTTTTGGTGTACTAAACTGGTATCCTTAAAGTCCGCTAATTTGGAACAACTAATTTTGTACTTAACACACTTTAATTGTCTGGAAATAGTTCTGAAGTCCAACAAAAGATATACTGAAGAATATTTGATTGTGCTAAAGTGGAACTATTACAAGTATACTTCGGGTACACTTTAAATATCTTGCATTTAACGACTGATGTTATTTAAAGATCACACAATCCTCATCAATAGTGACATTAAAACACAATTTAGGCTTAATATTAAGAAATGTGCATTGTGCACAAGTAGTACTCTAAATAAAGTTTAAGTATAATTTTTATATAAGTAAGTCTCGAGCGATATGTCAGTATGAAATATGTTAATAGATTTGAACTATACTTAGTATGAAATAAATGTATTTTAAATACATTACTTTTTTACAAGGGTAAATTCTGCACTTTTGAACTTTCGATTTAAATGAATCCTGAATTTAAAAAAAAAATCACAGTTAAAAAAAATAAGGTTAATCAGCAGAACTTTGTATTTTAAAATAACATTTCAATATTTAATAGTAATTTAAAATAGTATTTTTTCAATTTTTTTTATAATTACATTTAGCATTGTAATGGATTTTAATGGATACAAATTAGCACATGAGCATGGTTTGATTAGTTTGTTAGCTCTGTAAAATCATAAGGTAAAGATTTAATGTAATAATCAGAAATATAACAAGATTTTTTGATATTGCATTGATTGCCATAGGATGACTTAATCAGTTTGTTAAAAACAAACAAACAAAAAAAACACTAAAAACAAAAACATATTTAAGTGTTAGCATTGAGCTAAACTGATTTCTAAGCCAGTTTCACAGTTTAAGATATCTATTGCATTAATTAATTATTTTATTTATTTTCTGTTTGTGCTGTTGTTGACCTTATGAGACCTGTGACCCACTGATTGAGACCCACTGCTTGAAGTCACAAAGGCTTTTCTCCACTCATTTGTGACTTGTGCCATGACAGCAGGAGCAACAAAATAAAGTCATTGCGACTGTCAAAATCTTAGCTGTCAAGGGAGGATGTCTCCAAAGTAAGACAGGTCGGAAGCCGGTAGACATGCAATTGTCGTCCAAATTCTTTGGCAGAGAAAACTGTTGCGGGGGTGGGAACATTGAGCGTGTTCCCGTCACTGTCAGTCACAGCGTGTCTTCTTCATCTCTGAATGGACTGACACACAGAACATCTGTTTGCTTTTAAATCGCACTCGTCGTCTACCGATTGCGCTGAACAGGGACAGCAGAGCTACTTCAAGTGTTCTTCATGTCACATAGGCTTCTGTGATTATGCAGTCTGACATATAGAGGAAATGAAGTCAGAATGAGGCTAAGCAACGTGACTTTCTGTTTGTTAACAATGTGTAAAAATACTTCTTACATAAGAGGATGACTGTAGAAGACATGCTGTTAAATAAGAGTTTGGGGGAGAGAGATGGAAATGAGTAAAAGAGAAAGAAAGTGAGCGAAAATATGGAGAGATGAGGATTTGAAGGGCCCTGTGGTGTGGTCATTGGATCAAAGACCGATATTCTTTGTCATTTCCTTTAGGGAGGATGCATTATTATCAGAGGATTGTATTTATGGACAGTGTTTTTCTATTCATTAGGCAAATTTTTTTTTTTAACTATCATCATCTGGAAGAAGGTAGCATTGCATGTGTTTCTCAGCAGATCATTTGATTTCATGACATATTTTAGTTGCAAAGTTAAGAATTTCAGGCTGTAGGTAAATACAATAAAATAATTGTATTAATAATAATAATAATAATTAGAGACATTAGCTATATTTTCATATTATAATTGTTGTGAAGAATATTGTGAAAACAGTTTCCAAATAAAGCAGTATTTTAATATAATGTGTTCATGAGGATAAAATACTAGTTACTTCCAGGGAAACTTGTGCAGAATTGTTTAAAATGATTAAAATAGAAAGGTATTTTGTTAATGTCTTTCCATCATAGTTTCTACACATACACTTCTGCTGAAAAATCTAGGGCCAGTAAGATTTTAAAAATGTTTTTGAAAGTCTCTCATGCTCATCAAGACTGCATTTATTTATTTTTAAAAGTACAGTAAAAATATTAGGCTAATATCGTGAAATATTATTCTAATTTAAAATAAATATTTTATTTATTTATTTATTTGTTTGATGGCAAAATGAATTTTTTAGCAGCCATTACTCTAGTCTTCAGTGTCACATGATCTTTATAAAATATATTAATTTGCTGTTTAACCTCCTGAGACCCTGCATCCTCATATGAGGACATTATATTTTAGTGAATTTCTCTGAGACTATACATGCCACAGTTTGAAGTCTGGATGTCCTGTACGGAGCACATTCAGGGCTTTTCAGAAATACTAAATGTTTCACCATGACCACTCCCTCTCCTTGGTCTTCAAAAATGTCTGATATTAATTTAGTCTTATGGAAATAGGATACTTTTTTTAAAATGATCATTTAAATCTGACAAATTTTTCAACTGTGTGTCATAAATCAACATCTCAGGAAAACGTTATATAGTTTCAAATCAAAATATGACTTTCTGTTACGAAATAGGAGGTTGATTTCATATACAGTATGTCCTTATATGAGGACACCAGGACTAAAAGCATGTTTATTACACATTTTGGAAATAATTCTGTAATAACATAGTTGAGAATTATAAAAAGTTTGGTTAAAAAAAAATCCTAAAAACTAAAAATGTATTGGCGATTTAAAAAAAAATCAATTGTTTTTGCCTATGCATGTTCATTCATGCCTTTTTCTTTTTTTTAAATTTTTTTTATTTGTTATAAATTGCATAAAAACTTAAATCTTAAATTAAATTCTATAAAATGAAATGAAATTAAATTAAATGTGGTGCTTTACAATACTTCGTTTAAAATTAAATTACATTTAAATTGAACTTAAAGTTAAATACAATTTAATTAAATTTGGTGCTTCACCATACTTACTGTTTAAAATTAAATTAAATAAAAAATTACATGAAAATTGTTTTAATTCAATTCAAGTTTATTTGAATAGCGCTTTTCATGATGCAAATAGCTGCAAAGCAGCTTTCCAGAAAATGTAAGTTTCTACATTATATTTAGTAATAGCTCATAATTGGTGACTATCTCAAGTTGATGTCCATATGGCAGACATGTATGGTAAAAATCAAGCAGTTAGTTAATGTCATGTATTCAAACAGACGGTGAACACTATTAACAGCAATGATTATATGTTGCGATCAAACCTATGGCAAAATTTGGTAATTTTGGTAGCTTTACGATACTTTAAAATTAAATAAAATTTGAAATTACATTAAAATTGTATTAAAAATTAAATTACATTAAATTAGGTACTTTATGATACTTCATTTACAATTAAATTAAATTAGGTGCTTTATGATACTTTGTTTAAAATTAAATAGAATAAAAAAATTTGATTAAAATTGTATTGAAAAATTAAATTAAATTAACATGTTTAAAATTAAATAAAATAAAAAAATACGTTACAATTGTATTAAAAATTGAATTATAAATTACATTAAATTAAATTTGGTACTTCATATTTTAAATGAATTTGATTTTGTTTTACTTTGTGTTGCAGGAGAAAGAGAAACTTTACGTCGAGCTGAAGCACATCCTTGCTCGGCAACCTGGTCCAGAAGCAGCGGAAAAACTACAGGTTTATCAGCGAACACTCCGGGAGAAGACCAAACAACTGAAGGTCCGCTAATAAACCTCCTCTTCTCTTCTCTTCTCTTCTCTTCTCTTCTCTTCTCTTCAATAAAGCAATGTCATATTACAAAATAAAGAATGTATTGTAAAATAATTTAGCATAATAAGTCCTTTTTTCTTTCTGCGATATGTCAGCCGGATCCCGCATCCCACTCGCTGAGGGCTTTTTCTCACATCAATCATTCCTCCTCTCACTCCTCTCCCATCATTTTCATCTCCTTATTCCCCCTCTCACCATCACACAAAATGAATAATTAGTTACTTCACCACTTAATTAAGAGTTCAGGTCCATCTGGAGACAGCGACCACTAATGTCATTTTTAATGAGTTGGTTCGGTTTAAGCTGCCTCGTCCTGTCCTATTAAATAGGCAAGAGGCAGAGATGAAAGCAGTTAAAAAGTTATGAGTCTCTGCTGAGCCTTCGGTGACCTTATAATGTCCATATGTCACTGATATACACTGATCTTTGAGCTGCGTTTTGATCAGGAACATTAGGATCCAGGAAACTAGCCCTGGATCTGAAAACCAGGCAAACTGTCCTCTGCAGTCAGGACAGTAGAAAGTGCTCCGTTACATTCGCCATTCTTTACAAAAATGGACGTAACAGACTTTAAAGACTCAAAAGTGCTTAGCTCGGCAGAAATTCAGAGCTGATCTATTAGAATATCTGCAGTGTGGAGTATAAAACTCTCTGGCGCCCTTGAACTTAAAAATAATGGCCTGAAGGTAGGTATAGGGGGGGTTTGGCTTTCTGATAATTTATTGCCAAGCTTAAAATGAGTTAGGCACCACAGGCATCACTGGCAAAGCTTTAAATAAACAAAGCTCAGTGTAATTAACATTAGAACAGAAGCCTTACTAATGAGCCAAACTGAAAAATCATCCCATTCTTTGTTTTGATTGAAGCATGTCTTCCCGCTCCAGCCCCCTTTAGGAAATTAACATTAATTAACACCGGTCTTTTGACTCTCCATGCTTGCTTGGAAGATGTTTCCAGAGTTTTGTCTTTGTAAAATACCCAGTAGTCTGAATATTATTATACGCTCATGAAAAGCTCACAACAGATGAAGTATTTTGTTAATTTAAAAATGGGCCAAAAGTTGCTTGAAAGTTGATTAAACAATGCACATTTTGGTGGAAAAAAGTAAAATAAATAAATTAAACAAACAAAAAATAATAATAAATGAAATGGAAAAAATTTAATAAAAACAAAGATAAAATGGTAATGATAATAATTTGTGGCAGACTTGGAATTGATTCAATTTTTTAAGTTGTTGTTATTATTATTATTATTATTATCATCATCATTATTATTATAGTTATTTTGTATTATTTAAAGAAAAATTATATTAAAAAAAAGTTTTCAATGAACAGAAACATTTTGAATGTCTGAGCAATACTCTTCCTAAACTGTCAAAAAAATCTGAATATTAAATAAATAATAACATTTTAAAAATGCAATAAAATTCATAAAAAAATGTTAACAACTAGTTTGCAAAAAAAAATATTGATTTGGAATATATTCATTTAAATTATATATATATATATATATAAACAGACTGCCGTAATATATATGCAATATCTTTCCCAAATTATCCAATAATTAATATCACATTCAATAAATAATAAAATAAAAAATGCAAATAAAATGAATCAAAAAGTACCAAAAATAATAATAATTCTGCCAAATAATACTGATTTGGAATTTATTTATTATTGACTTATTGAAGTTTTTAAAATGATATTATTTAATAAAATTATTATTTTATTTAATACAATTATTTTATTTTCTAATTATTTGTATTTAATTTTGTAAATGGAAAAACATTTAAATAAAAAAAAACTTTCAATGAGCAGAAACATTTTGAATGCCTGTCATGTGCAATACCCTTTGCAAATCGTCCAATCCAAAGCCAGCTCTGCAGCAGAGCACATCCGAGATTTCTTCATTTATTACTTCCTCTCTCACTTTCTGTCCATCTTCCTCCTTCTCTTTAGCATCTCTCTTCTCCCTGTTCCTTTGATTACTGAGCTCTGGGCTGTTGGGTCACCTGCACTATGTGGGTGGTTTGGAGCACATTGGATGAATGACAATTAGAGCTTGACTGATATGTGCAAAGATTGACGGAGATCAATGAGATGCTGCAGAGGAAATCGCTCTGTTCCTTGCTCAGAGGAAGCCGAACACATCCTCAGTGATAGATCACAACTGTACAACTCGGACACATTTATAGCAAAGAGGTGCCTACTGAAGGGTGAGCGCAGCTTTAGGAAACATTTCAAAGTAATTGACAAATGGACTCTTAGACGCTTTGCAATATTTAGATGGTTTGCCACATAACTGGAAGCAGCAAAGCAGTGCATATAAAAGCAATGAACTGCTTGAGGCTGTGAGTTACAGTGTTTAATCATTAAAAACATTAATGTTCAGTATATAATAAAATGAAAAAAGTACCAAAAATAATCACTGTTGTTAATCACTAAACAATTAGTCTGCAAAGCAATATAGTTAATCTGTAGGCTGTTTCAGCTCTGAATTAAACTAAAAAAATTAAAAAAAAATTTCATAAAGAAAAATGAATCCTATTTGTTTTAATTCAATTAACCACATTTTCCTACTAATTTTTCAGTGTTAGTAGGAGGAGAAGATTTCAGTGTTTTTTCAGTGTTTTTATTAAAATATGCTTAAATTAACTTAATTGGAACAAATTATGATATGTACTGTACCACTGCATATAATTAAATCATGAAGGTGTTTGTGCACTTGACCCGGTTATGGTTGCCAGGCAAGTTTGAAGCAACCAAGTGCATAAATATATAGTTATATAGTTATAGTTTCAAACATAACTTTTCTTTCATAGGTCCTAACAGCAGAGCTCAACATGCACGAGTCCCAATCAGAAGACTACAAGTATGAGATCGAACGTCTTGCCCATGAACTTCAAGAAGTCAAGAAAAAATACCTCGCACAGAAACGGAAAGACCAGGAGCACAGGTGAGAAAGGAAGGCGTAAACCCAAAAATGACAATTCTGTCATCATCTGCTCACCATTATTATGTTCATTATGTCCTTCTAAACCTGTATGACTTTCTTCTGTGGAATACAAAAATACAACTTTTTCAATTTACAGTAAATGTGGACTGAAGCATTCAAGCTCAAAAAAAGGATGGAAAAGCACAATAAAACCATGTCCAAATGGCTCATAAAGTCTAAAGTTCTAAATTGTATAGACCACGTTTATGATGCTTGTGGTGCTTTTGCATGCTTTTAAAAAGCTTGAAAGCATCAGTCACCATTAATGAGGGTGAGTAAATGATGACAGAATTTTCATAAGCATTTAAAAACAACCGTGTGCCAGTATTCGAGTGTGTATGTGTGTGTGCATGTGGGTTCAGGTGGAAGACGTTAATCCCAGATCAGCATAAGATGTAACGTTATACCCACAGTATAAATCAGACCAGCAGAAAGCACTTTATTGTGTTTGTATGTGTGTGGTGTCTGTGTATCCGTATATTTCATGGTCCTGACAGCAAATGACCTTCGATATTGCCAACAAGCAGACAAGAACGGCAGTCTCTGACACGGCCGAAAATGATACCTCAGATAACGGTGAGAGAGGAAAAAAGCATTTGGAGTTGGAGGGAAATCAATGAGCCAGTGAATTGGAAAGATTTCTCTCATTTCGTCTCTGTGTTCTTGGGAGCAAATCGTGACACTGAAAATTACAGAGTGATGCAAAATCGCTCTGTTGCTCGCTGATTAGTAGCACCCTGCCAGATTCCACTGCTATTGGCCTTCGATCTAATGAAATTATGACTAATCGTGTGGTATTTTGGAAGCATGTATGTTGTTTATCCTGGGGAGTCTTATTTTCGAACGCAATGAGAGAATGTTTCCTCTGGGGGGGTTGACGATTGATTTGTATGCAATCTTCTAAACACTACTGTTATCCATACAGTATACACACTTCTCACATCAGCCACTCTTTCTGTCCCACACACACACACACACATCCTTTCAGAACACACACATTGGGCCTTATTTCTGAAACATGAGCAGAGCAAATTTGTGTGTAAATCCATTCTTACGTAAATGACTTGTTGAATGGAATAGGACAATTTATGTACGAATATTTTTACAGCGACAGATTACTTCTGCAGGGGTTTCTTGAATAAGGCCCATACAATGTAGGTTTTTACATTAAGCTTAGTAAGCCGATTTTTCAAACCATATATATTGTAACCAGATTCGCTGGTTACAAAACAAAATAGAATTGGACAAGGCTTTCTTCAGTTAGAGGTTGACACGTCTACGGCAACAGACACAGATTGAATGGATCTGATTGGCCGGTCCCTGTCGCCTGGTTTAGAAGCACAACTGCTCCGCTTCCTGTCACATCACAGAATGTCCCACTGTTTTAACTGGACAGGTTTCAGACTTCATGGTTGACCAGTAGGAGTCTACGGAAAATGCCTGGTTGCCTTTGTGTGGTGTCTTAATAAGAGTGAAATTAATAGCATCCATCATCTTTGCTGATCTACAATTTCATAACTGTATCCCAGAGAATGACTTGATTTCTAATTGAGATATATAGGTGAGTTAATGATTTACTTTTTTCAGATAAAAGTTCTATCAGTCCTCACAGTAGATTTATTCAGTGCGTTTGATCGTTCTATTAATCAAAGTAATGAGGTAGAAATACGTATACTACCGTTGAAAAAGTTTGGGGTTGGTAAGATTTATTAAAGGGGTCATATGATGTTGCTAAAAAGAACATTATTTGGTGTAATGAAATGTGTTTATGCGGTTTAAGGTTAAAAAAACACATTATTTTCCACATACTGTTCATTATTGTTTCTCCTCTATGCCCCGCCTTTCTGAAACGCGTCGATTTTTACAAAGCTCATCGTTGTGCTCTGATTGTCCAACTATCCAGTGCGTTGTGATTGGCCGAATACCTCAAGAGTGTGACGGAAATGTTACGCCCCTACCATATAAAAAGTCTTTGATGCTTGACCTGGCTGCATTTTTTTTTTATCAAAACCCCCAGTAAAAACAGCTAAATATTATTACAATTTAAAATAACTGATTTCTATTTTAATGTATTTTAAAATGTAATTTATTCCTGTATTGGCAAAGGTTAATTTTCAGCATCCATTACTTCAGTCTTCAGTGTCACGTGATCTTTCAGAAATCATTTTAATATCCTGATTTTGTGCTCAAACAGCAGTTTTTAATATTATTAATGTTGAAAACAGTTGCTGCTTAATATTTTTATGAAAACTGTGATACTTTTTTGGCCATTTATTTAAAATAGAAAATCTTTTGTAATAGTTTAATAGTTTTTACTGTCAAGTTTTGATCAATTTAATGTGTCTTTGCTGAATATTTTTTACCACCACACCACCAAAAAAAAAAAAAAAATGCTGTAATGTACGTAGGAATATTCTAAAAAGTATAAATGTTTCTGTTTCTGTTAACTTTTACTTCCTCACTTCTTTTTGTAAAAAAAGAAAGAATAATAAAATGAAAATTTAACATTATTGTTACTGTTACAAGCTTGTTTTCAGCTGTTTTAGCCATAGAAACCAGCTTGTTGGCCCGCTAAGTGCAGCAAACTATCATAGCCTGGGTTAAACCAGTTTTATTTTTCAGCAGGGCTTGGAAATCTAAACATAAGACACAATCAATGTGAGCTTTAAATGTGTTTTTAGATATAAAATATACCTGATAGCTTTTTGGCTTTATAAACATTGTGAAATGCTGATGAAGTAATGTGCCATGAGATTAGGTTCATATTGCTGGAGTCTCCCGCTATCAATTCCAAGAGAACTGTTTGCATATTTATCAGATATAGCATTCATAAGGTAATGAAATGCGATTACCTTGTCCATTTTTACCAAGGTGCCATATAGTTAATATAATGTTCTTGCAACCATTTTTTCACAAAAACGTCTAAAGGCACGTTCACACCAAGCACGATAACTATAAAGATAACGATAAATATATAGTTCTAAAAATCGTTCTCAATATTAAAGAATAGCAGAGTCCACACCACAGCTATAATGATAAAGGCACAGAGAAACAATATCGTTGGAATCACTTTCAAAGCGATTTTTTCCAGCTGATGAACGATAAAAACATTGACAGCCAATCAGAATCCATCCTGCTGTAACGAGCTTGAGAGTTTAAAGCGGCAGATGAGTGTGTGCTTAGACGCTAATATCGTTATTTTTATAGTTATCGATCTTGGTGTGAACGGGGCTTAACACTATTTACTAAGTCGACTATGCAGCAAAAAATCTTTTTTTTACATATACAGCTTTAAACTCTTTGTCTAGGCCAAGCACAGACATCACTTCCTCCTCTGTTTTGAATTCTCCTGGCAGCATGTTTAAACATTGCACTTAAGCCTTGCTGATGGGCAGCATATTGATTTCCTTTCCCCCCCCTCTGACATCTCGTGTGCTCAGACCAATGACTTAATTCTACACAAATCCCACATCAGTGTTTTCACACCAAGTAAAACAAGTCATTCATAAGTAATGGAGAAGGTCTTGTTTTTTTAAAGTGGTATAGTCACTAAAAACTGTATTCACAGCACAATGCTATCAGTGTTATGGAGTAATTGTGCCATGAATGTATTTATTTACTCTTTGTTAGTAGCTTTTAGCTTTTTATTTATTCGTTTTTTATTATTCAGTCAAGTTTATTTGTATGGAGCCCTAGACATGACATGCGGGGGGAGAGATATTGTGGCCTTCAGAATCTCAGTAATTTCCTCATGTATTTTTTTAATTTATTTATTTTACTGTCGCCATGTTGTAGTAATTTGTTCCTTAATCTTAATTTAACAAGGGGATGAATTCATAAAATGTGGCCACGACTTAATAAGTCGTAGGAACAAATGAAGTTGTAGCAACTAATTATTAATATCTATTTTTCCCCCACATGTCATGTGCAGGACTCCGTAGTACAATTCAATTTCGTTTTCCCCAGCAGTGCAACATCCAATATAAATGTCCTGCTCCTGTGGAAGCTATAATTAGCTTTTATGACTATTTACAAACAGTGTCAGTTGCATTAAAATATTGGGAGAAAACAATGTTTATATTAAATTATTGGTAACACTTTACAATAAGGTTCATTAGTTAACTACATTAGTTAACATGAACTAATAATGAACTGCACTTATACAGCGTTTATTAATCTTTGTTAATGTTAATTTCAACATTTACTAACACATTATTAAAATCTTGTTAACATTAGTTAATGCACTGTGAACTAACATGAACTAACAATGAACATCTGTATTTTTATTAACTCATTTACAAACAGTGTCAGTTGCATTAAAATATTGGGAGAAAACAATGTTTATATTAAATTATTTATATTAAATAATAAGTGGTTTGGTAACGCTGAATGCTGCATGCTATGCATTTTACATTTTCACATTTTCAGTATACTGGATGAGACAGAGATGGTTGTGTTTCCTGAAATAAGACAGGAGATGAGAGGAACACACGCACGGCATCAAGGGAGAGGAAATCTGCTTGCCTAGCTTGTTTGAATCTTTCTGGTTAGCGCATGTTGCAGCCCATCTACATTGGTAATGGGCAGAAAATCTTTCATGGCTTAAAGCAGCAATTATAGCAACGTCAATGAATAGATTTAGATGGGTCAAAACGAGTCGATGGATGGATTTTGATGGTTAAAAGTTTGAATAAATAATGCAGGACCTTTGTGTGTAAATATAACTGACCAGTGTATTGCCATTAAGCCTAATACAGTTGGGTTCAAAAACCTGAGACTTTCTAATTTTCACTCTATTTTCCCCTTTGCAAATGATATTATCAGCCTGAAAACACAATTTAGAGTTTAACTGAAAAATGAACATGCATTTATTAGTATGTTGTACAATATGCCCTTGTCTTGCTTTAACAGCACCAGCACTCCAGCTGACATGAATACATATACTCCTGACTAGTGACCTA